CCCCCCTCCGGGACCGGGGACCGCCAACGGGATCGCACCCCTTGGCGTCGCCCCCGCGCCTCGCTCAGCCAGTGAGCGGGAACCGGTCTGTATGCGGGATCCGAACCCTCGGGCGGGAGCGCCGCCGCGCTTCCCAAGCGGCACACTATCCAGTGCGCCACCGGGCCGGCCCCTAATAATGTATTTTAATGTTAGGTTCCCTTTGCTCTTTCGGTGTTTCCTTTCTTCAAATAATTAACAGTCTTAAGAATTCGAACTTTTAGAGAGGTGTGTCACCTCTTGAGGTCCTTTTAGTGCATTATTCCTGGCTCATATAGTTAATAAAACAACATCACAGAAGGAAAGGATAAAGTCTATACACAAAAGTGCACCATATGATCAAGTTTATTGTACAGTCACAAGTTACACATTGGAAATTAAGCAGAACACTGTATAGGATTGAACTAACTCAAATCAAGTTAGCAAATGACAAATTTTAGAACAGCCTCATTTCATGTCTCACCCAATGTGGGTGATCACAAGAGAAGCTAAACAAAGATATTTACTTTCTATGTTACTTAGATAGCAAATTAATTTGATATACACAGCTTCCAAGTTACCTTAAGATATCTGTGTTTCAAAACTGATAAGAAATAGTCCATGCCCAGCCTAAAATAAAATGTAAAATAAACTGTTTAGGGGTAAATAACTTCATCTGTATATCCATAGCAGAATCACACTTTCCTGCTAACAAAAATACTAATAAATCTCTGTTTAGATTAGGTTTACTAAATTAATGATGACTTTGAAATTATCGAGGTTTAGTTACATTGTTATATTGCACTTGAGAACAATGAAAAAAAAAAAAAAAGATTCAGTACCTCTCCCAAGAAGTTCATTATGTATCAGAAATTACAATGAAATACAAGCATATAGTCCATAGTCCATAAATTCATTGTTCAAACTAGCCAACTAACAAGTTAAAGGGGATATTCTCCAAAACACTCAGTATTAAGTAATTTCATTTACCTTTTTTATCCTATAATCAATTTTCAAATTTTCTATCTTTTTCTTATTTATCAAACTACTACATATACAAGCTATCCAAGAGTACAAACAAGATGATACTGAGATAAGCAATGGCCACACACAGATATTCCAAGAATAATTTATTCTTCTCCACCAGGCTCATCACTATATTCTACAACATAGGAATGTCTATCAACTTACCAATTCTGCTTGCCTTTCAAAAACCAGCTGATCTGTAATATGCTATGCTTTTGCCACATAAATCTGTCCCTTAGGGTCATGATTCACCATCAAAAATCTTTCACTGCCCTTTTAAAGAAGCCAATAAAGTCTCTTTTACTAATACTTGAATCTTCTCTTCATATATATAAATATTAAGTGTTAATGAGAATTAACTATGAATAAGTAGTTTCATAACACTGGTAGAATCATGGCAATAACATTTTGCCTAATGGTTTTTACCTTTCAGAATCATTAAGAAATTGATCAGAATTACAATGATAATTCATCACAAGAGAAAGGTAATGGGAAGAAAAGGAAAAAATGGCCCTCACACAAATGTTTTTCAAAATATCAATTCTGAAATAAGTACCTATCTTAGGATACTCCAAAAAGTTCATGTAAAAATAGAATTAAAAGATAATATGAATCTTTCCATGAACTTTTTGAAGTACTATGGTATAACAAATCAATATTAGTATTAATATTTCTTACCAATATCAAATGCTTTTACTATCCTCTAGCATATTCACATCTGTTATTTTAAAAACTGAATCAGACTATAAGAACTTTACACTTATCCAAAATGGATTTGAATTCTCAATAAATCACAAATACAGTAGTATTTAAAATGTTTGGAAATTAAAATTGTTTTCATACGACTGTTTTTTGATATTTAATCAAATTCACTCATATGCTACTTTAAGGGTAAAAATAATCCCAACATTTTCCTCAGAAAATCGGCTTTTCAAATTATATTTCTCCATATTTTTGTAGATATAAATTTTCATTTTTTTCAAAGAAAATCTACACTATTGCTTAAAACTGCACTTCATAAAGGCAATTTAAAGCATCATTTTTTTTTTTTTTTTTTTTTAAAGATGACCGGTAAGGGGATCTCAACCCTTGACTTGGTGTTGTCAGCACCACGCTCAGCCAGTGAGCAAACCGGCCATCCCTATATGGGATCTGAACCCGCGGCCTTGGTGTTATCAGCACCGCACTCTACCGAGTGAGCCACGGGCCGGCCCTAAAGCATCATGTTAATTTCCAGTTATGGCATCTTTCAATCTTCAGTATAAGATTATATCTTAACATAGAGGCCATAAAAAGAATAAATTGTGTAAAAGCAAATACTAACACTTCCGTCAAAGAATGAATTTCTATCCAACATATATTTTCAGGAATTACTGCTATTAGGTGGAAAAACAGATAAGGTAAAAGTTGTTATTTGATATAGAACTTAAACTATACAAGTTAAAACATAATAAAATAGATTGTGGATTAAATATAAATAAAAATTTAATAGCACATACCCAATTTTCACATTGAAAAAATATTGTACCTTTACTATTACAGGAAAGAATTTTGATGGTATCATGTTTTTTTTTTCTTTTTTTTTTAAAGTTCTACCATATAGGTGGTATTACAATCCAAGTTCATGCAGTTATAAAGTCTATAGTAGCTTGAAGAGCTAACTGTAGTGTAATTTGTATTGATATTAAGTACCTGTACAAAAGATGTGGATGCTAAGGTCCAAATCTGGGTTGTGTTAAAACAACAACAAAAAACAGCAAAATCCAACACACTAAATCAGAAACAGTAATTGTAGGAGGTACTATTTTATATAAAGTAGTAAGGCAGGCACTACCTGTCTTAGGTACATCGAATAAGAACTACCACTTAAAATTTTATTATTTAAATACCTAAAAACACAAGTCAGTGTATGTGTATTAAATGTATGTCTGAACTTATTTATAAAGAGAAGGTTGGCGAATATTGCTTTCATTGTGTGGTTAATACCAATGGACACCATCATCAGTAGAGTCTTTTATTATTAGAGTCTTCTATTCCTCATGAAGGGAATTTAAATCTATAATGAAGCTGGTAATTCTAATGGGTCAGGATGTAGCATAACTTTAAAAATCAAAGTTAAGTTTCTGAGTTCCCTTCACCATTTTCATGAGGTTGAAGCTGTTCCCTTTCTTGTTCCTCTTGAGGTGGCCGGACACGTTTAAAAAAACCCATCTGTCAGTTGAAGAAAAACCGAAGTTATTGTTACATCAGTGTAGAAAAAAAAGTATTTTTTGAACAACCACACTGTCATCAAGAAAATTTAATTGGTACTTTGTACAATTTCTTTTCCCTCAGGTAATAGTGCTCATCGCATATTACCTAATTATAGGTCTCTCTTCTTCCTTTACTTCTTTTTCATTCTTTCTTCTTTCCTTCTCTCCCTCCCTCCCTTTCGTTTTAAGTCCATTACTTACCCTGTACATTACAAATACCAGAACAGCCAGTAACAACAATCCTGCTAGAACTGCTAAAATGATCACCCAGACTGGCACTGGCATGGGCGCTGGCTGGATGCCCCAAGTGACATTAGTGGTAACCTGTTGGGGAAAATATTTTTTTTAGTTTTAAAAATAGTTCACTGACTTAATCAACAAGTCTTTCAGTGCCTGTTACATTTTATTTTCATTGTATTCACATTATATTCTTCTCTTGCATATGATAATTTAGTGATCTCATGTTTGGTATCAAAAGCAGACATACACACACACAAAACTCCCAATGATAGGTTAACAACTTTTTTTTTTTGGTGGCTGGCTGGTATGGTGATCTGAACCCATGACCTTGATGTTATAAGGCTGCATTCTAACTTGCTAACTGGTTAGTTCATCTCATGATTGCACCTAAAGTGACTTTTAATAATCTAATCCAGTTTATGATGTGCTGATCCCATTTTTAATCCTGAAAGATCTTCAAATTGCTTTCACTTGTTTCAGTTAATTTCCAACTTTCTAATTTTGTGGGGGGTAAACTTCCCAAAATTTCCCCAACATAATTTAATATATACTAAAAAATCCCTTGCCTAGGACAAGATGCTAAAGCAAAAGGTCTAGCTTTAATAATTCTCGGATGGGTGAGTAAAGTATTAATATTAAACTAGGTTGTAATCCTATCAAATAACTTCATCACTTTAAATTATTGAAATAAACTGCCATTTTTAAAACAAAATAAAAACATCTAAGGCATTTGAACTGAGTGTATTTATTCCATTTCCCTGAATTAATGACTTACTAATGTGGAGTTGAAGATATCCTCAATTGGAAGGTTCTTATAGGGAAACTCTATGACATTAAATGAAGCAGATGACTTCAGAGAATATGAATGATTCTGGTTTTCCTTCTGTATGGAAATAACAATGAGATGATTTCCCAGATGTCAGGCCTTTTTTATTTCTTTGAATAAAATGGATAAGTTTGCCAGAGGCTGCAACTGCCTACTTACATTCATAAAGGTCTCAGTCCACAGTAGAGACTTTACGTACAGAATTGCACTCTTTCCTCTGTCTAGTCGTCCAACCTGGCAGACAATCCTCAAGCACTGAGCAATTCCACAACCCTGCCAAAACAAATTATTTACTTACAAGAAAAGGTCATTCTGTCATCTCTTCAACGTCTGAAAATTAGACATTTTATTTTACTCTTTTTATGTGAAGGCTAAAGAGAGATCCTCCAGATTCATTTTTCTTGCAGGAATAACAAAATAAATAGGACAAGAGTTGAGTCTATGAATACTTTTTTTTTACTTAGAAGTTGGTTTTAATGTAATTTATTATAGAGAGATAAGACCTATAATCTTAAAAAATTCATTTTTATGGCTAGAACTCAACATTCTTTAGGCATACTTCGAGCACAGTGATCACAGTAGGAATGAAAATCAGATCATAATATCCCTGCAGAAAAGGAAAGAAAAGAGTGAGTTTTTAATGGTTATTCCATGTCAGACCTGTAGAAATCAAATGGCCTCTGTTACATTTAGTGTTTTTATCAGTAACTTGAAGATTGGCAGCCAAAGGAAACATATATTCACCACCTTCTACGTGCTGGTCATGCTGCTTTAGACATGTCACCTCACAACAATGCTATACAGTAAGTGGTACCACCAGTTGATGACTAGGTATAGAAGAGAGCTTCCTTGACCTGATAAACAGCATCTGTGAAAAGCCCACAGCTAACTTTATACTTATGGTAAAAGACTAGAAATTTTCCCCATAAGATCAGGAACAAAACAAAGATGCTCACTGATACTACTTATATTCAACATTGTACAGAAGGTTTTAATCAGTTCAATCAAGCAAGAAAAAAATAAAATAAAAGGCAACCAGATTGGAAAGGATAAAGTGAAGCTATCTTTTTGTAGATGACAGAATCTTATACATAGAAAACATGAATCCACACTAAAACTATTAGAGCTAGTAAACAAGTACAAAAAAGGTACAAGATATAAGATCAATATACAAATATGAGTTGTTTTTTGGTATACTAGTAAGGAAAAATATTTTTAAAAAGATTAAGAAAATAATTCCATTTAAAATAGCATCAAAGAGAATAAAATACATGGAAAGAATTTAACCAAAGAAGTGCAAAACTAGTACACTGAAAACTATGAAATATTGCTGAAAGAAATTAAAGAAGACCTAAATAAATAGAAAAAACATCCCATGTTCATGGACTGAAAGACTTAATATTGTTAAGATGGCAATACTCCCCAAACTGGTAGACAAAAAAATTGTCATCAAAATTCCAACTATCATTTTGGCAGAAAAGGACAAAATGATCCTAAAATTCATATAGAATTGCAAGTGACCCCAAATAGCCAAAACAATCTTGAAGAAGAAACTGTTAGATAGTTCATACTTCCCAATTCCAAAACTTACTTCAGAGCTACAGTCAAAACAATTTGGTACTAGCATTAAGGATACACATATAGGTCACTAAAATAGAGTTGACAGTCCAGAAATAAACCCAATTATCTATGGTCAATTCATTTTCAATGTGATTGTATGTGTAGCAAGTTTGGAAAACAATTTGACAGTTACTCAAAAAGTTAAACATAGAGTTATCATATAACCCAGCAATTCCACTCCTAGGTTTATTCCCAAGAGAACTGGAAAACATAACTGGGAAACACAAAAACCTGTGCATAAATGTTCATGGTGGCACTATTCAAAATAGACAAAAAGTGGAAATAATCCAAATGTCCATCAGTTGATTGACTGGATGAACAAAAGACGGTGTATCCACAAAACGAAATATTACTCAGCCATAAAAATGAACCAAGTACTAATACATGCTACAACATGGATCAATCCTGAAAACATGCTAAGTGAAAGAAGCCAAACACAAAAGACCACATATCATACGATGATATATATATGAGATGTTCAGAAGAGACAAATCAGTAGGGACTGAAAACAGATTAGTGGTCGCCAAGGGCTGGTGGTAGAGAAGAATGGGGAGTGACCGGGGAACAACATTTCTTTTGGGGATGACAAAAATGTCTTGGAATTAAAGTGGTAATGGTTGCAGCTGGTGGTAGAGAAGAATGGGGAGTGACCGCTTAATGGGAACAACATTTCTTTTGGGGATGACAAAAATGTCTTGGAATTAAAGTGGTAATGGTTGCACAATATTGTGAATATACTAAAAACCACTAAGTTATATATGTTAAAATGTTAAACTATGAATTTTGTGTTACGTAAGTTTTATCTCAGTTTAAAAAAACATAATTCTGTAGGAGGACAAAGAGTGTAGGATCAAAAGTGGTGGTGGGGGGGCGTAATAGAAGGCAGTTTCTATTTCACATGGTTTGATCAGGGAAGTCCTCTGTCATAATGTGACCTTTAAGGACACCAGAAGGAGATGGGAAAGTAAGCCATGGGGGTAATCTGGACAAAGAACATTCCAGGCAGCTGGAGGAGCAGTTTTCAAAGCCTGGAGGCAGAAACATGTTTAAGGCTGTCTGTTCAATGAAAAGCAAGGTGGCAAATGAGAGAAGCAAAATGGGTAAGGAGAGGAGATGCAGGCAGAGAGGTGGGAAGTGCCTAGATTGCAGCAAGCTTAAAGGCCATCGTAGGCTCAGGCTTTCTCTCAGAGTTAGATGGGAAGACAGTGGGGTGACATGATCTGACCTCTATTTAAAAGGTACACTGTGGCTTCTGTGTGTCAAATAAACTATAGTGGGGAGAAGGACAGAAATACAGAGACCAGCTAGGGGTTTGGCTATAGTCTAAGTGAGGAAGGAAGGTGGCTGGGTTGGGTTGTGGCCGTGGTGGAGCTGGTGAGAAGGGGCCAGATTGCGGGTCTTTTGAAAGTAGATACTGATAGAATTTGCCAAAATATCAGATATAAGATTTGAGAGAAAGAGGAGTCAAGGATGACGCACAGATTTTGGACAGAGAATGCAGTTGATATTTAATAAAATGTGGAACACTGTGGAAAGAGCAGAACTGGGAAAACTCGAGTATATTTTTAGAATTAAGTTTTGAGATTCCTATTGGATATTTAAGAGGAGTTCTAGTAGGCAGTTGGATATTGGAGTCGGAGCCCAATGCAGAGAACCAGATCAAAAATATAAACCAAAGTCTTCTCTACCAGATGGTATTTATAGCCTTAAGAGTGAGAAAGATCATCTAGGGCAGCACTATCTGATAGAACATTCTCTGATGTTAAAAATCATCAATGAAGAGATATCAATACTGCCTGACAGGCCAGCCACTAGTCTCGTGTGGCTATTGAACACTTGAAATGTGGCTGGCATCTACAGTGGACAGCACAGATCCAGTCAATGAATGTACGTGTAGTAGAGAACAAACCTGAGATCTGAATCCTGGAATAGTCCAGAGTTTGAAAGTCCAAAAATGGAGATTAAGAAGTAGCTACTGGTGGTAGGTGGACATCCAGGAGATAGTGGTGTCCTACAAGTGATTGAGGAGGTGATTAAGTGAGACGAAAGCTGCTGAGTAGTCGAACCTGATGAGGACTAAGAAGGACCACTGAATTTGGTGATGCAAAAGTAACTGGTGATAGCTACTGAACATAAACACTTTGCCAGGTTCTCTACAAGGTGATGATTTGCAGATCTGTTAATTTTCAAAAACTTAGAAGACAATAAGCCTCTTTAAAACACTATAGTCCTTACACAGGCTGACTCAAGAAAAGTTAATCATAATGCTTATTATTCTTCCTATATATATTTTTTTGGGGGGTAGGGGAGGGCTGCTGACAGGTATCTGAACCCATGACCTTGGAGTTATAAGACTATGCTCTAACCAACTGAGCTAGCTGGCCAGCCTTTATTCTTTTAATATATTTTTATTGAGGCCTTCAGGGTTCTTCCTGTAGCATTGCACTAAAGCTTCAAAGATTAGGCTGAGGCCAAGAAATAGGTCAGTTAAAAGAGCACAGTCAGAAAAATAAGTGGGAACATTATATATTTTTATTAGCCATCTACAAAAATAGATCTTTTGAACAAAATCTGGCATTAATTAGATTAGAAAAAATTAAAGAGGACAGAATGGTATAAAAATATATATAGGAAGAATAATAAGCATTATGATTAACTTTTCTTGAGTCAGCCTGTGTAAGGACTATAGTGTTTTAAAGAGGCTTATTGTCTTCTAAGTTTTTGAAAATTAACAGATCTGCAAATCATCACCTTGTAGAGAACCTG